CCCTTCAAGCTCGTTGCCAAATATACTGCTTTCTGCTCCTCTTCCCATCCATTCAATTCTACCAGGAGCTCAAATTGTGCTCTATATGCTTCCTATGGCTTCCTTCACACTGGATCACTCCTATTACTGGGATGTGACTTCTAACAAGGTTGAAGATGTCTGCATTAGGGTTTAGCTGCAGGGTCTGGAAGGGGCTTGTCAATTGTCTGGGGCTGATTAAGTCGACGGTTAATGTATCCTCCTTGTGTAAAAGACAATAAATCATCCTTTAATGTATCTAATTCGCTTTTAAATTTACTAATGTTTTCCATTTGTACTTCTTGCCACTGTTGTTGATTTTCCTGTAGTTGCTGCTGAGTTTCCTGCAACTGTTGGATACTTTCTTTCTGTTTCCTTTCTTGTTCTAGTTGCCACTGCTGTAATCTCTCTTCTTGTTTCTTTTCTTGTTCTAGTTGCCACTGCTGTAATCTCTCTTCTTGTTTCTTTTCTTTTTCCTCCAACTGTTGTAATCTCTTTTTTTGTTTCTTTTCTTTTTCCTCCAACAACTGTTGTAATCTCTCTTCTTGTTTCTTTTCTTGTTTTTTTTCTCGTTCTTCTTGTTTCTTTTCTTTTTCCTCCAACAACTGCTGTAATTTCTCTTCTTGTTTCTTTCCTGGTTCTTTTTGTTTCTTTTCTTTTTCCTCCAACCACTGCTGTAATCTCTCTTCTTGTTTAATTTCTCGTTCTTCTTTAACACGCCCGGCTTGTGAATCCAAGAGTCCATGGTTCGCATCTAATCGGCACAAAAACGTACCCCCAAACTTTGGACTTCTGGTTGTGTTACAAGAGTGAGGGTCAAATCTCACTATGTGGCCTGAAGAAAAGCAGCTCAAGAGCGGATGGTGAGTGCTGTTGACTATCTTCTTTTTTGCCCCCCAGTGGCACAGCGGTATGTCTGCAGATTTACAATGCTAGAAACCGGGTTTCGATACCCGTGGTGGGCAGAGCACAGATAGCCCTTGTGTAGCTTTGTGCATAATTATAAACAAACAATCGTTCTTGTTTCTTTTGCTGCTCTTGTATTGCTGCCATCAAGTCTGCTAAGCTGTAGTTTGATTTTCCGCCTCTCATTTCCATTTTTTTTGTCCCACTTTCTGACACCAATTTGTTACGTCTCCGTTCGTTAGTTAATCTTCCGTAAATTCGTTCCGACGAAACTTTTGCGACACAAATCCTTTCTTAAATAAAACTGGTTTATTCTTTCTGAATATAACTTTGTGATACACTTAATTTCAAAAGTCGCTCTATAACAAATGCTATAATTCTTAACGAAGGTCTCACGTGCTCGACTTCAACAATACTCCGTTCAATTACACACATACTCTGACTGCAGTTCAATTACTCATTACCTCCCCGTCGCTTTGTGGCCGGTCTTATATATACCAGACTACCCCCAATCTAGTAGTCTCCCGATAATTCACGAAGGTTCGAGAAGGACGTGGCGTGATACTAGTCACGTGACCTCACTGATGCAACAATATATATATATATATAGTATGGAACAAAGAGGTCACATGACTGGATACTGTTGCACGACTTAGAAGAGATATCTTGGCACCCCAGGGTGTTGGTTTAGGGTTGTTTTGTTCAATTAAGATGGATTCCTTGATTTTTCGTTTGTTTATGTTTGGTTCTTTGTTTAAAATTTCTGTGTTTTAATAGATATAACGTTGTACATTTGCTGTTATGTTAAACTTATATTAAAGTTTTCTTCATTACCCATTCAAGCCGTCTTCAAGTATTATTGCTTTGAATATATTATTTTAAAACAAGTGGATTGTGTACTGTGCGTTTATTGTTCAAATTTATCGCCAACAAGTTACAGACACCTAATGTAAAGAATGCAGCTTATACATAAAAGTCTGACAGTGTGCATAATCTTTGGGGTTTTTACTCTTGATAACCAGGCTTCCTTTTCCATTAAGTAAACATTTGATTTCTTTAACTTTCAAGTCCGGGAAGAGTTTACGAAGTTCAAAGTAATTTGGGGTTGT